AGGAGCCAGGGCACACCCAGGGGGAGAGACGACTGTCTCTTTTTACTTCTGTCAGATCTGCACTAGACACAACTCTACAGACTTCCAGAAGTTCAGCTCCGTCTATTTCACTCCTCTGCTCAAACATGGACGCTGCATCCCCTGCCCACTGAATGAAGCCACACCTCCTCACAAGTCAACGGGCTTTCCTGCCAGTGCCCCCCACCCCCAAGCACTCTGCTGGCCGAAGTGGACTTCCTTTCTCCAACCTTCCTTTCCCACTTCCCTGTCCTTGCTTTGGCTGGTCCCTCTGTTCCCAGTGTCCTTGCTATCCCTGCATTTCCCCGGGTAGATTTCTAAGTTTAGATTTCAATTCTGATTCACCCATGACCCCCCAACCCTCATCCCCTCTCTCTCCATCTAAATATTTCTCCTCCTCCAAGCCTCTGACAAACTAGTTGTTTGTTCATCTTACCGAAATCTTCACCCCAAACACTGTTAATTCCTTAAGCCAGAACTTGCCTTCCTTGGGGCATCTCACTCACCTCCAGGACCAGGTGGCCATTTGGCAAGCAGCTGTCGAGTTCAGTCAAATAGCTCTGAGTCCTAAAGTTAGAGCTGGTATGGAGGGCTCTGGCCGGGGAGAAGGTGGGCAGAGGTATTGGGAAATTAAATCTAGGCTGGAGTCAGTTGAACGGTGCATCCCTGATCAAGAGAATCTCCCTGCAAGGGTCTTTGTTAGGGTCACAACCTAGGGACATGGGTGATAATTAAGGCCTGGTCCAGCCTGGAATCCTGGGGGTTGGGGGCAGCAAGGAGAGATGACTCAGTTTAAATCAAACAGAACAACGAAGGGAGGCTGTCCTTGTCCATCTGCATTATCAGAGACAGCTATAAATGCCCTTCCCCCGGGCCTCCTCTCACACCTGTAAGTCTGATCTGACCTCTCCAAGACCCCTGAAGCAGGGTGTTTGGGGATCTCTCCTACAGCAAATGCCTCTAGATCAGGGAGAGGGGGACAACTAAGGGATTACTTTGGGGCAGGTCAGGCAGAGAGGAAGGGAGCCGGTTTCTCAGTGCTCAGAAATTGCATTTCTAGTTATTATATGTTACCAGATGTTGGCAGGGTTGGGAAACTGCTGTGGTCACTAAGAGGGGCTGTTCAGGCTAGGCTGGTCTAGTGGATGGGAACCTGCTTCTTCTTCGGACGAACTCACTGAACACCAGAGTCATTGCCCCAAGCAACACGTGGGCACTGAGTGGAACCCTGAGGATGGAGGGAGACGGTGGGAGTGGACGGAAATCTACTTGAAGGTCAAGACTACGTCTTATGTCCTTTGCGTTGACCCAGCAGTTAGCCCAGTGCCGGCCACATGGGAAGCACGCAAACTAAGTCCTTCCGAACTGAACTGAAAACAGGAGACAAAAGCACCCACTTTTCTCCACTCCCGCGCCGACCCTATCCAAACCCCCAAGTTACTCGCATTCCCCGGGAGTCAGGGAGCCCGGAGTAGAAGGGTGTGGAGGGAAGGAGGGCGGGGTGGTGGTGGTGGCGGCGGTGCAGGGGACCCACAGAGCCGGGGAAGCGCATGGGGGCGGGGGGTGGGCGAGCGGGCGTGCGCGCACTCACGGGCCGGCGCGCGGGAGCGTCGGGGGAAGGGGGTGGTCTCCAAAAGGGGGAGGGGAGAAGGCAGGGGGCGGGGAGAAGCAGGGCCCTTTAGGACCCGGCTGCGGCTGCGGGGGAGGAGGAAGAAGCGGAGGAGGCGGCTCCCGCGCTCGCAGGGCCGTGCCACCTGCCCGCTCGCTCGCCGCCGTCGCGCTCACCACCGCCAACATGCTGCCGAGACTGGGCGGCCCCGCGCTGCCGCTGCTCCTGCCGCCCTCGCTGCTGCTGCTGCCGCTGCTGCTGGGCGCCGGCGGCGGCCGCGGCGTGCGCGCCGAGGTGCTGTTCCGCTGCCCGCCCTGCACGCCCGAGCGCCTGGCCGCCTGCGGGCCCCCGCCCGCCGCGCCGCCCGCCGCCGCCGCGTCCGGGGCGGCCGGCGACGCCCGCGCGCCCTGCGCCGAGCTGGTCCGCGAGCCGGGCTGCGGCTGCTGCTCCGTGTGCGCGCGGCTGGAGGGCGAGGCGTGCGGCGTCTACACCCCGCGCTGCGCCCAGGGGCTGCGCTGCTACCCCCACCCGGGCTCCGAGCTGCCCCTGCAGGCGCTGGTCCTGGGCGAGGGCGCTTGCGAAAAGCGCCGCGACGCCGAGTACGGCGCCAGCCCCGAGCAGGTTGCAGGTAACGCGGACTGGGCCAACTAGTTCGGAGAAACTTGCAGGGCAGCGGAGCGCGGGCCGGGGGCCGTTCCGTGGGGGAGAGTCGTGCGACGGGAGCGCCGCGACCGCTTTAGCGGACGGACAGCGGAGTCCTCGACCGGGTGTGGGCGACTGCGTGGGAGGGGGACCCGAAAGTCAGGCCCGGGGAGGGGAGCTGGAGTTAGAGCGTGCGGGAGAGCCCTGCCTGCTACCGGTTTGGTCGGGATAAACGGGCAGAGAGGAGAGGCATCCCTGATACCGTAGTCTTCCCCGGGTGGAACGTACCTCGACTTCTGTTTTGGAGGGGGGATTTCCTGGGGACGAGGGTGTTGGCCAGACCCGGGGGAGTAAAAACTTGAGACTTACTCGGGGCACAGCTTGAGTCGGGGACCGCCGACCGAAGGTTCCTGGAAAGGTCCCGTTGGAGGACGCTGCTGGGGGGCGGAGGCTGGCGGGTGTCAGTGACTTCGGGGACGTCTGGTGAGAGCGGGGCTCTAGGAGAAGGCGGCAGCTCATCGAGGGACTCTTCTGTCTGGGATGGTGAGGTGGAAAGAAAGGAGTTGGTACTTTGTAGGGTGGGTTGCTTAGGGGAGAAATGCAAACGGGCGCTGCTCTGTTCCGTGGAGAGCGAAGGCCCGTGCTTCTCTGTTGGGTGGAACAATAAAAGGGGGGCATCTGGGAGACTCAGCCCAGCAGTTCAGTCCGTGTAACTTAAGCCGGGTCGCCGGCTGCAGTCCCGGGGCGGGGGCAGCCGTGCTGCTCACTTGAGCATCTGGGCCCCAGGGCGGAAGGCAGGACGATGCCTGGGCGCTGGACCCGGCTGCTCTGACCACGGGGAGGTGTTACTCCCGTCCTAATCCGGGGGGGGATTCTTCCTGTCCGGTGGAACTGGGGCCCTGCGAGTCTTTGTAAGCGATCCTCATCACCCCCCCCCCCCCCCCCCCGCCCAAAAGGTTTCTGAGGGACACGACCAGGCAGTCAGAATCTCACTTTTGGTTTTTGTTTTTAAAATTACAAAAGCCTCCTGCCCCAGTGGTCTGGAGGAGACTGTAATTATTTTCTTTCTTCTTGGAGACAGTTGGGAAATGTGTCCACTGCCTGCCGCTGTTGTTTTAAAAAGCAAGCGAGTCTGACCAAGTTCTTCAAGCTTTTAAAAAATAGAAAGGACAGAAAAGGGATAAGTGAAAACGTTCTTGCTTGCTTGTAACCTTCTGTGGTCATAGTCCTGTCCCCCCACAACAAGACCCTCTGCCCCCCACCTTCCTCTACCCAACTATTGTTTTTTCCCTGTTCTCCTTGGGAATGGAATTGGGGGTCAGAGTTGAAATCTTTCTTCTATTTCTCTGGCACATTTTGACCTTGAGTGCGGAGCCAGTTAGGGCTTCCTCGGAGGGAGCTAGCAGAAACCCTGAGTCCCTTTCTTCTCCCTCCGCTTGCTTCCCTTCCTGCCCGCCTTGCCTCCAAGTTAACCCTTCCCTCCTGCTTCTCTGAGAAAGTAATAATAAAAGGAAAAGACTTGGCCCTGCCTTCCTCCTCCGTGGCCCCCTCGTGCCCGCCCCCCAGCTCCCCCACCAGGGAGGTACTGTGCTTTTTGAGCTGAACTCTGACAAACTAAACATCTTCCTCAGCAGGATGAACTTTTCCAAAGGCTTCCAAGTTCATAGACTCGTTTGGATTTTGACCGTCTTAATAAAGTGCGTGATACAGATCCTCCCTAAACCTTGTACTTTTTCTCACCCTTCATCCTTCTCACTGGCAGCCTGAAAACCAGCTCTCCTGCTTCCAAGCCCCAGAACAGATGCGGGGGATTCTCCCCATTCACTCCTCCCTAGAGCCCGAAGGGGGGAGTTGTCAGGGGAGCCCAGGGACAATAGGGTGAGTTCATGGGAAGAATGTCACTCTGGATTTTCTGCCTGGTTATGGGACTCCTTTCCGCCAGCTAGCCCCAGCTGCCTCCTCAGCCTTCTCCTCCCAATGCCCAGACAGACGCCTTCCGCATTTTTCTCTGGTGCTCCAGCCTGTGAAGAGGGGACGCTGGGGGTGGGGGGTGGGAGCTAGATGTGGAAGCCGGGTGGGCACCCTGGAAAGAAGTGACCCAGAGGTGTGAGGAAGGCTGGGCGAAAGGGGGCACTGCAGGGAGAAGCCTGGGCTGGCAGGGGTGCAGGGAAGAGAGGGACATGTTTTGAGGCTTCTGTGCAGGAGAGGGTCTTGGGCTGGGGCAGGGATGTGGCACTGCCTGGTGGAGAGCCCTGGGGTCCCGGTTGGGGGGTGGTGCACAGAATGTGGCCCAGAGGAGACCAGAGCACTGAAAGCTGCAGGCTCCCCCCTCCATCTCCCATCCCCTTTTCTCCCCTCTCTGAAGAATGAGCTCTCTCCCATCCCAGACTGCATTCCTCTTTGAGCAGGTTGCTTTTGAGAATTTTAAACATACCCTCTTATTTTGAGGCAGCAAACCCCAGCAGTTCCGGCTTTGCTGTTAGCTCTTTTGTCTTTGTTCCCAGGACTCAGGGGCTGTGTCGCTGACTTCCTGGGGACGGCTGGGATACAGGGGGTGGGGGTGGGCACATCTGCGGGTGCTGAGCCTCCATCCCTTGGGGGTGATGGGTTGGGACTGGTTGGTTCAGAGAAACTTAGAAGTCAGACTATGGGTTGGAGTAGGTGAGTGAGCCTGGAAGAAAAATGGGAGGGGGGGCACCCTGAGATCTGGGGAGGTCTGGATCTTAACAGTGTGTGGGTGTGTTTGCTGGTGGAGTGGGCAGAAGTGCCTAGAAATGTCGGGGTAAGAGGAGGAAGTGGGCTCCCTTTCAGAATTCAGGGCCGGCGGGGCGGACTGGCTCCCTCAGCATCTCCCCTGCCTCCTTCCCTGCCGCGTACAATGCCTGGGATTATGCCGAGGGGCGGAGCCGCCCAAGTGGCCGTCTGGCCGGCTGCACATATAAAGGTGCTATAGAAATGTGCAGGCATTCAAAGTCCCAGGGCAGGCAGGCGGGCAGGCGGGCGGGTCTGAGGAGGCTTTGCATCTGCAGTTGCTGGGGGAGCAGGAAGGGGGGCAGAGGCGAGCGCTGATTTACAGTGGTTCAGTGCAGCTTCAGAAAAGGGGAGAAAAGCAATGGGACTTCTGGCTCAAAGCGCTGCTTTGCATCTTGTCTTGCATAAATTTGCATACTGAGTTCAAAGTCGTAAAATAGACTTGGGGAATGAGTGGGACCCACTGTCACTGATTGCTAACACCACTACCTTCCACCACCCTCCCCCCTTCTGGACAGAACACCCAGAACTAGCTCTGCTAAGCTGCTCCGCCTGCGTCACCACGGTGCGTTGGAAGGAGGAGATGGGGGAGCTGAGAGCAACTGCTTCTAGGTCTCCGGGAGGGACACGTGTCGTTCCTGGGCCACCAGACCAAGCGGGGTGTGCCTGTGTGCACTCTGGCCTCGGAGGGAGGTCTGGTCTGGAGGCTGTGGCTCTCCAGGTCGGAACCAGCCCTGCAGGCAGTGTTGGGCGGGCTGCCTCCATCTGCCATTGTGCTCGGAGGGCTGGAATTTGAGGAAGTTGCAGAATCAAGGTTTTTTGCCTGCCATCTCCTTACTCACTTCCCCTATGTCCACATTGTTCACCATGATAGTTCCCTTTGTGCGGTAATAGATTCCCATCCATTCTTCTGACAAGGTATTTGAAGAAGCTTTGAGAGAAAAAAAATCCTGTGTAACAAGGTCAAAGGACCTTATATTAAAAAAAAACAACAACAGGACTAAGGAATCTCTGAATTAGCATAGGTGGTGGTGTCTGGGGGAAAGAGGAATCTATGTGTTCGTGACCACCGCGAGGGTCTATCTATGCAATGGTTCTTGGCCCATTTGGACTATTGAGTTTCCTGGCAGGCAGAGGGAAGAGGGAAACTTAGATGGTTCAAAGATTTAGCTTACCTTAGCACTGAGCTTTAAACTAAAATTTTCAGGCCAATCATTCCTTTGGGTTAGGGAACTCCGTGGAAGTGAGTCCTAGAAAGACGCCTGCAGGTTACTTGGGAGCAGGAGCATATTTGGTCCCCATTGTCCAGCATTCAAGGGCTTACTTAGAATCCCAGTACTGTAGCCCATTTATCAGGTTAGCTTCTAGTCGGGTCTCACATTAGCTATTCTCTGCCATAGAAAACTGGATGCACAGTTGCTAAATTTTGATATGAGGAAGTTCCAAAAATTCTTGGTTCCAGTGAAATGCAAAATAGGACGACAGTACCTGGGGGGGGGGGCGGGGGGGTGCCCAGCAGGGGCTGCTGAAGGGAATGAAGGAGGAGCAGAAAATACGCAGGCTATGCCCACATTTGGTTTTGTTGTTGACCCTCCTCACATACGACAACACGGTACCACCACCACCACCACCACCACCAACAACAAAGGGCTTGGTTATTATTATTACTATTTTTGAAGAGCCTCCATCACCAGGGACTGCATTTCGTTTCAGTCTGTCCCTTCTTAGTGTTCCTAGCCTCCTTTTCCTCCCCTGCTTTCTCCATGTTGCTTTCCTATCCACCCCCCCCCCCGGTCCCCTGGCCCCCATGGCTCCCCTATGCCTCTCCCGCTATGGCTGTGTCTTGAACACCTGGCTGGATGCTAAGGCTTGAGAAATGGCATGGAAGATAGATCTACCCCAGCCTTCCACAGGAATCCAGGTAGGTGGCGACCACGTAGGTGATGGGGATCAGAGTGCTGGAAACGAATCTGATCCTGAAATGAGGAGGGTGGTTGGTGGCAGTACAGGGGCTGGGCTTGGTGGGGGTGGGGTGGGGTGGAGGGGGGAAGGGGCCATATCCCCAAGGGGCTTTGTGCTGGGGCTGCTCCCCCTGTAACCGAGGCAGGGAGGAGCAAGGTTATGCTTTTAAGTCACCAGGGGAGCTGGTGTTCTGCTTGGCAGATGTTCTAGGCCTTTCTACTCCTTGCTGTCTCTGGCCAGCATTTTGCTGAGGTGGCAGGCACCTGCCAGGGGTTCGGTCGCCTTCGCATCTGTCCTTGTTCTATCATGAACTGGCTTCCTAGCCTGCGTTGTCTCCTGTCTTCCAAGAGCTCTGTGAGGGAGAGAGGGAGGCTTTTTACCTCCATTTCGCAGGTGTGGACTCTGAGGCTCAGTTAGGGGACGCCTGAGCAGGTAAGTCATGAGTTGAGAGGCTGACCTTCCTTCTGTTCGCCTCCGCCCCGTGGTCAAGCAAGGGAGGGGGGCTGTTGGTTGCAAAAGCCTTTGACCCTGTCAGCCAGAAAGTTTGTTCCTGGACACCTGCCATGTACGGGCCAGGTTTGCCTATTTGCATTCCCTCAACTCCACTGGGCGGCCCAAGGCCTGGGGACTTCAGAGAGGGAGGTGACCAGTGTGCAGCAATCGGGAGAGACAAAAGGATCCCGGGGGAGGGGTGGTGAACAGAGCTGGGGGGCGGCAGCCTGGCCTGTGCCATCGTGGGAACCGGGGTCCCTTGCAGATCTGACTTGGAGAACCTGAGTGCTGATGTTCGTGGGCCTTCCTCAAGTATCAGTTTACCTGTTGGTGGAACGGGGATGACTGTCTCTCTTCAGTGGGGTGTGTTTGAGGACAGCTGTGGTGCTGGCAAGCGTCTGGCCCGCTGGGAGCCCGCGCTGGGCTGTGTCGGGCGGGACATGCGTCTCCCCGGAGGCTTTAGCGTGGTGCTTCGTGGCCCCGTCGTGGTGTGAAGTTGCTCTGGCTCAAAGCCCAGTTACCAGCCACATCCTAGCCACCCAAGGCAAGAGATATGTTCTCCCTGAGCCTCCGGTTCCTTCTCTGTAAATCAAATATTGATAGCACCAACTCCATAGGGTGGCGCCCGCAAGTGTGTGTGTGTGTGTGTGTGTGTGTGTGTGTTGACAGCTAGATAATACAGACAAAGCTAAGCACTTTGGTTTTTTTTTTTTTTTTGTAATCACTTGCTTTTCATCTCTTCACCTATAAAATGGAAATATCCATACCTCTGGCCTACTTGCATGGACCGTAGTTGAGCTGTTTGTAGAAAGGGTAAGGCAACTGTACTTTAAATACAGTATAAGTGGATTTGTGTCAAACAAGTGGTCTGAGGTAAGCAGGTTTCCGTTTTTTAGGGATGAGTTAGGCAGTGCTCTTTAGGGCCCATGCCCTGATGTCTGGGGCTGACCGTTCTTGGTCTGGGAGCTTCACCCTTTAACGCCTCAATTGGGGGTGGAGGGATTGCGGGGACAGAAGTGGCCCCAGGGTTGGGTCACTGGGTACTTGTGCGGGCTTGCTGCTCATAAGCTGGCGACAGGGCTGAGTTCTACCTTCACCCGGCCAGCCAACCTTTAGGACCCAGCCGTCCAACTGCAGGTATTCGGAGGAGCAGAGGATCCCTGAGGCCACAGTTCAGGGGTGGGAAGCTCCTTCCCCCAGGGACAGCCCTCTACAGGAAGCCTGCAGGGACCCAGGCTTCAGAACAGTAGGGTCAGGTAGGAGCCAGCCTGGTCTTAGCACACTTAGTACCTGGAACATGGACCAGGGTGCGCAGTGGTGGAGTTGTCCAAGCCAGGGAAGGCCCCTTGGCACCCATTTCCTGCTCCAGGAAAATGGGCTTTCACATCTATCCTGTCTGAGCCTCCGGTGCCAGAAAGTTGAACGTGATCCTGGCAAAGACATTGGATGTTCTATCCAAAAAGTGACGTGTCCTTACTACGCCATCTGCAGAGTGGACCGCATTCCTGAGTTGGGGAGCAGCCTCTCATTTCGAAGGGGTTGGTGGGTTCTCCACAGGAGTGCTGGATTGGGGGGGTGTTGGGGAGAGAGTTTTCTGGGCACTGAGCTTCTTCCTAATGTCTGATTCCATCTGTGGTCCCAGAAAACCCTCTGAGTGACCCCCTGTCTGGGCATAATGATAATGACCGTGTTCTGGAGCCTCTGCTGGAGGGGAGGCCCCAGGAAGCAGAGAAGGGGGATGCTTGAATCTTCAGGGTCAGCAGAGGCTTGTAGTGAAACCCAGGATGGTTGGGACAAAGCACAGTATTTGCCACTGGGAATCTGAGGTGGCCAGTTCCTTAGACTCTGAGGGCCTTCAGGATTGTGGGGAGGGGGACACAGAGGAGAAGCCCACTTTACAGATGGGGTAGTCAATTCAGAGAAACTTGTTGGCTTTCAGGTTCCAGGATAACTGCTCCCCACCCCCACCTCCACCTCCACAATGAGTAGAGTGTCTGGGCTATGGATTTTTTTTTTATCCTCCTGGAAAATGGACCATCCCCCTATGCCCCTGTCCCTCCTTGGCCACTCCTGTCCTTTATTTAACAAAGCCGGGGAAGATCTGCTCTGGCTCAGCTACTGGGTGTCAGGGTGCAGAGGGAGACCTTGCTCAGAAAGCCGGCTCCCCCGGAAAGAAATACAGAGTCGACTGTAGTCAGAAATTGTTTCTCTTCCCCCCCCCTTTTTTTTAGTGGGGGGGGGCACTTGGCAGCCTGTGGGGCCCCTTCTGGCTGCCAGCCCCGCATTTCTTCCTGGCTGTTGGGAGGCAGGGCAGGAGAAGAGATTGGGGAGAAGGAGCAGGGCCTGGCTGGCCTCCAGCTGTAGGGCAGGAGAATTGGCCCACGGGCCCCCGTTCAGTTGGCCTGAGCAGAGCAGAGCCTGGGGTTTCTAATTAGTGGGTGGGTATAGGTGTGTCAACCTGTGTTTCATTCAAGGAGCTGAGTCCTGGGAGGCGGGAAGTCAGGGAGGGAGGGCCTCAGAGCCCAGGAAGGCCTCAGCAAGTTGGGGAGGTGGGACTGGGACGGGGGCTTAGCGTGTTGAACCCCTGAAAAGAGTCAAGGAGGTGGGGCCTTCTTGCTGGAGGGATCTGAGCTGGATTGTGGGCTGCAGTGAGCAAAGGGTCTGTCCCAAGGGGTAAAGGACAAAATAATGATAATTGAAGTGCTTTCTTCTAGACATCATCAACTTTGACCAAAGTGCCCGTAGGGTTTTTTCGGTTTTGTTTTTTCCAGCTCTGTTTTAGCCTCAGGATTCTCCCCACTTGACAGATGAAGAAATTGAGGCTGCATTCCGGTTCCAGTGCCGAGCAAGGCAAGCACAGACCGAGTGGAGTCTGGGTCTCCAGATGCTCAGCCCAGGGCCCCATTCCCTCAGACTCACGCATGCAAAGCAGCTGCGAATTATATATTGCTGCTAGAAAAGCTTCTTTCCCCGGGGAGCTGGTAATTAAGGCATAACTTCTCAAAAATGTTCCTTTATGCAGCTCCCCAGGAAGTTTCTTTCAGGTCTATTGTCTTGACTTCTGGATGGAGGTGCAAAGTTGCCTCTGGGTGGTGCAGTTGCTTTCTAAAGTGCCTGAGGCCAAGATAAAATGAAAATGGCAGTCCCCTCGGGCCCTGCCTCAACAGCTGCCTGATAAGGCTGGGTAGTTTCTGTAGCAACAGCGGCAGGAAGTATGGCAACTGGGAGGAAGGGGAGCCCGGTTGGGGTGGGTGTACCGGATCAGAAAGGCTTTCCAGGTGGGGTGGGGTGGGCTGGCATCTGACTGGCAACTTCCCTCCCAGGGAAGACAAGGTCCCCTGATGAGGGGATGAGGTGACCGGGAACAGAAGGAATAGAGCCCTGGGGTTAAAAGCTTCCGGTTGAGTCTTTCCCTAGATGACGCTAATGACTGGACACCATCCTGGCTGGTTAAGAGTTATGAAGCCGAACAACCTGGATTTTGTGTTGGCTTTGCCATTGACGACGTGACTTTGTGCAGTTGACCTTGAACACTATGGCTTTTTTTTTTCTTTTAAAGATTTTATTTATTTATTTGACAGAGAGAGACACAGTGAGAGCAGGATCACAAGCAGGGGGAGAGGGAGAGGGAGAAACAGGCTTCCCGCGGTGCAGGGAGCCCGATGCGGGGCTCGATCCCAGGACCCTGGGATCATGACCTGAGCCAAAGGCAGACGATTAACAACTGAGCCACCCAGGCGCCCCTGGTTTTTTTTTTTTTCTGATCAAGGTGAGAGGGAATAAGAAATTATCAACCTCATGTGATTGCTTGATGATAAAACAAAGTTCTGTACACAAAGCGCTTAGCACAGAAACTCTGATAATCAGATGATGTCATACTGGTTCTCCTTCCTTCTTCCTCTAATCTCAACACACAGAACGGAAGGAGAAGTCCTCTGTTTTCCCGTGTTTTCTGATTTGCCAAGTGTACTAAGAACAGGGACTGAAGGATCCAGTTCGGAGGAATGGCTTCTTCTGTGTGGTGTGGCTTCCTTGGATGGCAGCCCTTTGGAAAGTCCAGAATGGGGTTAGTGGTAGAGGGTTTTGCAGTGGGCAGTCCTGGCCTTTGATGCCACGGTCACTCATTATGGTTCTGCCAGTGGTTGAGAGCATGGCCTGTTTATGCGCCAGAGGTGAGGATTCTCCCTTGAAGCTCTGCGGGTTGTCTCTGGTTCTGTTTGCTGCCTCCCGGCCAAGAGAGCACAACCAAGGAAGACCCCAGATGTGATGCCGTCTTCTATCAGACACAATTAGTGAACTTTTAGTTGAAGAAAAAGAAAAGCACGGTGACCTATTTAAAGACACTTATTTATATTCAGGACACTTCTTGTGCTGGTTTTGAGAGTGTGGCAGGCAATCCTGGACATCTTCACAGGTTTTTAGTTTCTGTTTGCACCCTCCGGGTTCAGTTTGTCAGGCCCGCAGTCT